CCCTACACAGCGTTGGTTACATATTTTTAGAGATCTGAAATAATCTTTTCTTAGCACAAGAGAGAAGAAAAAAGTATGCAAAACATTGTGTTACTTAAGGAAATAATGTAATCTTTACCTTTGTGCTCTCATGAAAGCTACAGATTGTAAAAGTTCTACTAGTTAAACGCTCAAAATCCATTTAGCTACCAGGTCATCCGTACTAGACATCAAAGGTCAGGTTTGATACCATGTATTCAAGTTGCCTGTACTAGTGACAACCTACCAATTGCGTTATGTATCCTACTTTACAGGAAAATAACTTTATCTCCTTTATCAGTGAGACTTCATTTCAGGAAAACTGATAGCCATTGGTTTTGATCGCTACTTGCATAGCTCCACGTTCACATTAACTTTGGGAACAGCTGCGTTTTAAATTCTCACTCCCTTTGAGCTGTACCCACTCAGACATTTGTGCGTTTTGTCTCAGAGACAGAGCTCTGAATGACCCATATTTAAAAATTAAGAAATAAAATAAAAATAATTCCCAGATCAAGCATGAAAAGCACATGGTGATTTTAAATCGGCTCTGCTGCCAAAGTAGTTTGCCAAGCTGCCAAATACAGAGTTCTGCCTAAATTCTAACATGCTGCTGTTCTGATGGGCTCTCTGGACAGCTGCGATCACAGCAAGGGGGTTTCTGCCTATGTTTCACATAGCCATGGAAAACAGAAATGAAGACAGGAGGTTCTGGAAGTATTAGCTCGTATTTTGCAGGGGGTGTGGGGAGGGTGATTTGACTTCTTTTCCCTCCTTTCTTTCACACACGCAGAAAAATAATGTTAATAGTAGGAAACTGAGAATACTTACCATGAATTTTAAGGAAGATACATGACTGGTGTATTGGATGACTGAAATTCCTCCCCCCAAACCAAGGTGACATCTTTTATTCTTAGAGGGACAAACTGAGAGGTAAGAGGAGTAACCCATGTGTGAAGAGGAGGTCAGCAAAGGAATGGACACTCAGCAGTCACTCTTGAACACCTATGGCAAAAATTAATATTTAATTTTACTCCAGTGTTTCCACAGTGCTCCTGCGGTTAGAGAAAGTGCCATTGGGATGAGAAAACCATTTAATCTTTAAAGAGAGTTTGAAATCTTTTAATCTTTAATCCTCATCAGGGCTCATTAGTTATTTGATCAACTAGGAAACTGAATTGCACTAAAAAAGCTGGAAAAGAACATGTATACTTATGAATTATTCAGGGCTGCTAAAACAGTCATACTTTACAAATGAAAGCAAATCTTTTGGGAATTTTGGGGAGTGCAGGTTGTTTGTTTTAAACTACCATTGACTCACATTTTAACAAGATAAATTTGTGATCAAATGTTTTTGGCTGATGTTGCATGGATGAGCTTTGTTCTACTCAGAGAACTTGGCTTTAGCTCATAGGATTTTGAGGAAGTTTTCTTTGGAAGTGTTTTAGATTCTGTGTGTAGTGGGAAAGAGAAGGAGAAATAAATTTCTTCTGAGACAGGCACCAAAAAATTTTCCATTGTTGTAAGTATCGTTACGAGTCAGCAGGACCCAAGAATTGAGACAGTCGCTGGAGTCCCGGCTGTTACAGTTCCCTTCCCCATCCCTGAGGACCTCAGCCCCAAAGGGGTGTGATGTGTGCACAAGGCTGATTTATCAACACAGCTATGCAGTTATGTCATTTTTGCCAGCTCCCAGTGTACTTGGATCCTGTCCTGCAAGCACCAGGATGGGAAGCTTTTACAGTTGTGTTTTGTTTGACACCCTTATACAAAAGTGTTCCAGGAACAGGATGTTCAAAACTCGATCCTTGTGCATGTTAGTGGCTTCTACCCAGAAGTCACGTGAGGTTAATAACTAAACAAGCCGCATTATTCACTGCAGCAGCAACCTCATCTCTAGGAACAGCTAAAGCTGTTCTTTATCCTCACATTAACATTAACCTCCCGAGGCTGGAGTTCTCGAGCATCTTTTTCTCTCTTTTCTCTTGTGTTCCTCAGCAGATAATTGCAGATGGATGTGATTTGATGAAACAAATAATAATGATGTAAAGTTCTTCCTGGGATGAGAACAAAATTTAGGGAGATGTGTAGATATACTTGTGTGGGACAATCCAACTGTATTAGAACATGTTTCCAGGGGTACAGTGCCTTTTTCTTTCCTAACTTCAATAACATAACATAGAATTACAATTCAAGATAAATATTAAAAGTGAAATTGGAGTTCATGAAGGATTCAGAATCTATAACCAAAGGCAGTGGTCGTACATTTATCCATTAAAAAGGTATAGAACAGTGAATGTTAAGAAAATCCACTAGTATGTGCTTCCTGGACTGCAAGATAAAAACAGGCAAAAAAAATTGTTCTTTAATTGTTCTTTGTACCATTTATGTCTTGTATGCTAATTGTCTTATCTGTCTCTGATGCCATGTGCATTACAAAACATGTTCCCTCCTCTTGTTTTCAGGTAGTGGTAGCTGAGGATGCCAGCCCCCTGGCGAATATGCTGCAATAAAAAATCCAGAACTAAGAATGGAAAAGCTGAAATGGATAATATGGCAGACACAAGTGAAAAAATGCAGATGAAAAAAGAAATTACATTACTAAATGGAGTTTCTTTAATAGTAGGGAACATGATTGGCTCTGGGATATTTGTATCACCCAGAGGTGTTTTAATGTACAGTGCTTCCTATGGACTCTCTCTAGTCATCTGGGCACTTGGTGGGATGTTTTCACTGTTTGGAGCTTTGTGTTACGCTGAATTGGGAACATCCATCATTAAATCTGGAGGCAGTTATGCCTATATCCTGGAAGCATTTGGTGCCTTTGTGGCCTTCATCAGACTGTGGTCTTCGTTGCTAATTATCGAACCAACAACCCAGGCAGTGATAGCAATCACATTTGCTAACTATATTGTTCAACCAATTTTTCCTCATTGTGAGCCACCGTATGATGCAGTCAGGTTGATTGCAGCTGCTTGTATTTGTAAGTAAAGTTATGATTCCTAGAAGTTAAGAACTGTAACTGTAGGTGCTCAGGGGATTTTTCTGAATTTCTATTCTTCATCTTCTGTGAAAACAATTATTGCCTATCTAAAACACATTCTTAGGAACTAATAATCTTTTATTCAGACGGATTTTATTTGGTGCTGGGATTATTAGAGGGGAGAGAAGAATTACAATAATTTGGCTGGGGGAAACTATGACATCTGATTAAAGGTACATATATCTCTATGGATCATTGACATAATTTGCAGCCTGCATTTGGTCCACGGCCTCTCCCCTATTTCTTGCAAATCACAAAAAATGAACAAAAAATCTTAAAATTCATATGGCATTAAAAATAATCTGCCTAATACAAGTTTTGTCTCTAGAAAAATTGTGTAGTGTAATCAGACACTCTGCAGAGTTGACTTTGTTATGACCATATGTCTTAGGTGACCACAGGGATAAGTGTTACAAATCTATCCTCCAGTAGATGAAATGCACTCAGATTCTTTTCCTTATAAATATGGATTTGTCGAGATGGAGTATGTGTTCCTTAGTACCTTGTGCTATAGCATGATCTTTTAAAAACGTCTGAAATTGTGCAACTCAACAAAAGCTTCCAAAAGGATAACTAACTTTAACATAAAATAATGTATACTGACAATTCTGAGAGGGTATTTTCTCTGTTGCCCTGACTCTTGCCACTGAGGTGAAGAGGAAGTTCACTTCTGAAAAAGGTTCCATGGTAGGTAATTGAAACCATCATGACTACTCAGCAGCCTAAAAGGCAACTAACTCTATTCCAAAGAGTTTGTCAGCTGAAATTCTCCACTTGCACAGGAAAGCGGTTATTTATTAGATCAAAATTTCTTTTCCTGGTGTTCTAGGTGCACCTCATGAAATCCTAACACTTAAGAGAAGCAGTCTTCAAATAGTGATGTTTTTTTAAGCCTTCTTTTTCTTAGTTATTCTTGCTGTAGTCTTCGCTGTGTGCTCTAGCACCTCTGATTTCTGAGCTGATGCCCCAGGTGTGCCTGGCAGCTGCTGCTTTCTCATACAATAAATTAGTTACCTCACCACTGACTAGGCTTTTGAGTAAAAGCCCAGATTGCAGGGAAAATTACAGTGTGTTACATTAACTGCAATATGTAATTTAGCAGTGTCAAGATAGCAAATTTATTCCTAGCTTGAACAATTTTGGTAAGGCTCGGGAGCATGGATTTAATTGGCGCTCCACCTTTAAATATATATATTTACTAGAATTTACTGTGAATTCCATGGCAAGATCCCCTTGCCTAGAATTTAATTACACTCTGCAGAACATGATACATGTTATGTGTCCTATACACATACAGTAAAAATGTCCTTTGCAGTCTTTCAAATAGCATTTTCTATCATCACAAATTATTCCTAAATGTACAGTATTAAAAAAATTCCATCAACACTTACTTTATAATTTTCAAGACACAGACCTGTATTTCTAGCAGTTACTGATATATACGACTGTAATTTTATGAAAGGGGTATATGGTTAAGTTCTACTAAGGAGATTTTTTTCAACTATAGAGCATAAAATCTTATTTCAATGTATATGCCACATTTACTAGAGCAAGATTTACAGAAGTCCTTATTTACAGACAGGTTTAAAATTATATTCAAACCTGACACTAGGCATGAACAATCATTATATATCTTTTGGCTTTTTTTAATACCAGAATAAAACCAAAATTCTATCTCCATTGCACAATATTGGTATATTAATAGAAAATAGTGGGGGCAAATCAGGTCCTCCTTCTGTAAATAAGTCTATTATTACCTTGACAGTTGACAGGACACTGTCAAATATCCAGAACTGCTCATGATAATGAAGGCAAGAAGTTCTGTGAGCATCCATGGTTGGATGCTAATTTCCTTACTATATAGAAAGTGTTCTAAATAGTTTTCATTTTAAGCATTACAAAACTTCTTTTCTGCCCTTCAAAACTGAAGTGTAGATTATAGGCAGGTCAAAGAAACAGCAGAAAAGACCAAAGACTTCTAAAGGAGAAAGAGCTCATTCTGATACATGTTCGAGAGTGCTCTGGACCGCCCATGCTGCATTTGCTCTGCTATCTTCTCCAGCAGCTGGGCTTTGTACCTGGTACCAATGCATACCCTTACCTTTCCTCATCTACCTCTGCTTTGAATTATGGAGTTGCAAGAAGTTGCCCACGATGTCATGTGTGAGAGGAGCTGGACATGCAGCTCGGCCCCTGGCTGGACCTGCCACCAGCTGAGCAGCAGTGCTCATCACAGTGCTTGATCTGCTCATCGGGGTTCAATTTCTGTGACAAAACTGAATGCAAAGAATATGGCAGAAGGAGGAAAGGAGAATTAATTGATCCTACCCACTCTCTGCAACCACACTACTTTGTTATTTCTATTAGATTCTGTCAAAATTGAAGCCCGAGAGAACTCTGTAAGTAAGTACTTCTGTAACCTTCATACTCAGGGTCAAAGCTTGAATGACACAGCTTCTAAGTCATGGGCACAGAATAACAGCACGATGGCCTGGCTCGATTCAATACCTTGTCCACAGCATCCAAACTTTTTGGTGCAGAAGCTGTCCTTACTCATTACATAGACTAGGGCTTGTATCAGCATGGAGAACTTCAGGGAAAAAAAATCAATTTGAATAAAGGATATAAAGAAATCTCACCTTCTGCATGTGACTGTGATGACTTTAATAAAATATAAAGATTATTTAAAAGGAGCAGGAGTTACTCCTGAAATTCAAAGCTGATGTGTTTTGTCTTACCTACTGTCAGGAGAACAGTATCCTTTAGAAAGCCATTGTATAAATTTTAAACCAGGTATTTCATTCATATTAATAAATTTAGGTGGTCATAAAGTGGTGAAATTTGATTATATTTTACTCCTTGAAAGAGGAGTGGTATCTGGAAGGATAGATTTGAAATACACATTACGTGATGTAAAACATACAGTGCTCCTGTCATGCATATTCTTTTTCTCTGCAGGTTCCTTAACGTTTATTAATTGTGTTAATGTGAAGTGGGGAACCCGTGTACAAGATGTTTTCACATATGCAAAAGTTATGGCTCTTATCTTGGTGATATCTGTTGGCCTTTACAAAATTGGTAAAGGTAAGAATATTTTTCATTTACTTAATTGCTACTTGTCCTGTGACAGGACAGCACAGCAGAAATTGCTGGATATGTCCTTCACATGGCTCCTCACCCCCCCCGCCTCCCCCAGCTCTCCCTGCCCTGCCCATGGCAGAGAGCCGCCGCAGTGCCCTGCAAGGGAGGAGGATCAAGGAGGGAGGAACTCATCCTTTCCTCCATTGCTGAGAGGGCATGCTTATTCCTAGAAACAAGGGAAAAAACTGCAGTCCTATGAATCACTGTGGTATCGTAAGACATCACAGGACAGATGAGCCACCTTGTATCAGCAGTAACTGGACTGAACTGAATATACTGGAAAGATGGAGACTGGTTTATTCTGGTACCTCTGATCTTTGCATATGACAATAGAGTTGATTTTATAATTTGGGTCTCTGGTACAGTGAAGTCTTCCAACTCTAGCTCTGTTGCTTAGTTAATATGGTTTCTTCATTTTCCTTCCAAAGAAATTCCCAAATAGCCATTGTATCTTTATTCAGTTAAACTAAAGATGGTTTTCCCTC